CAACATCTCCCCACCCTGCCCTGACTGTCTGATTAGAACTTGCACAGAGGAAGAGAGATCCACCGTCACTCATACTAGAAAAATTAAATCAAGACCTAGGCAGCCTCAGCGTAATGGATGTTGCATTGATCTCTAGAGGCTCCTCTCATGGTTGCTTTGTGGAGGAGGCTTGTGTGCGAAAGGCCTTTAGTTCTCTCAGAGACCTTTGCTCCTTGTTTCCTCACATTCAGTCACACCGACTTTAGTGGTCCCTGTGGCTTAGGTTAAATAAATAGTCTAGAAATCCTCCTGACTCTCAGTGGGATAGAAGGTGCAGGATTGTGCCAGGGACTTTCATCTGTGATCCAGGGATGTGGTTAAAAAAAAAAAATTAGATAATTGTATTTAACTGCAATTGGCTTCTTTTGTAATCCTACGTATTTTATTTTATACACTTAAAAACATGATTCTGAGAAGGGCTTCATAGACTTTACCTCACTGACTTCACCAAAAGGTGAAGAAGCCCTCCTCCAGATAAACTCCAGTGCACCTGTAATCTGTTTCCAGAATTAAATCCAAGAAGCCAACATCATAGAAGGTGGCATTTACAGAACAATTCAATGGATTTTTTTTCCTTTTGGCCAAAACCTTCTAAAACCTTACTAGCCAGTCCTAGTCATGGCAGTTGGGGCAGAGGCAGAGGGACCCCAGAGGCCATGGAGGTCACCCTTTGTGGGATCAGAAATCCTCCATGTGGCATCTTCAGCATGGCCTCGGTCTCATGCCACCAAGCTCCTGTCCTACATGAACAGCTCCAGTTCACCCTGTAAAACTGCCCACTCTCCACTTCTGCTTATGACTTCCTGAGGCTGCGAGTTTGGTGATTGCCAAACTTGGCTTCTTGGCTGGCGATTCCTGTGAGTTCCTGACCTTCTTATGAAATGCTGCAGCCATGAAGCCCTTAGAGACCACACATTTATAGATCAGATCTCCGCCACTTGTTAACACGCCTTCCCTTTTCAGTGTCTGCACCTTTGTGTACCTGTCATGTTGCTCCAGTGGAACATAAGCTCCTGAAGGACAAGGCCTATGTCATTGTTGACTTTGTATTTCCAGCTTAATAGACATTTGCCAGGTTGAATCGAATTGTGCCTGGTTTCACAGACTGCGACAGGTGGAGACATGTCTACAATCCAGGTCTTGTGGCTTCTTCTGGAATGGGCTTTCTCATTGCATCTCTCCCATGCCTGTCACACGTGCAGGTCAGCCTGGCGCCAAATGGACTCCTCAACCTCTTGCTTTGAAGGTGTGTGTGAGGTGCCTGCAGCTTTCTCATTGTCCTAAATGTTCAATGCCCAATTACTCCATCAGTGTTCCTGTTGATGGTCACAATAGGGATAGGAATTGGTGCTAATAGGAATCTGAGTGATGCTGTGAGATACTTTTCACCATTTCCCAGGCCAAGCATATATTACCAGCATCATTATCATGAAACTCTAATTAGATTTGGAGAAGTCCCCTTGGGTGGTCTGGTTTGGTACCCACTGGGATCGGGCATCCGCTTTCCATGTATTTGGTGCTGTGAAGACTTGAGCTGCTCCTTCCCTGAGGTGTCTACCCCTGACATGAGAGAGAATTGTGCGTTTAAGAACTTTCTCCAAATGAAATACTCAGTTAAGATGGCATCCTCTTGAATTTCTTGACGCAGCTGCTGATACCGCATGATGTCAGGAAAGATTGATATTACTGATTTTCAGAGTTCCCAAAGACAGCCTTTGGGAGATGGAGCCCTTGAATCACAACTGGTAACAATCCTTATTAGGACAGTAATCTGATGGGTTTAAGTTGATGTAAAAATACACACGTTTTGTTTGTTTTAATAGAATGGGATAGTAAATACAGGGTTTCCTTCTGAAATTTGTGTTTAAATTTTATTTGCTTTTCTCTGGGTAGAGAGTGTCATTGAGTCAATAAACATTTATTAAACACTTACTATGTGCCAGGCGCTGGGCTAAGAGCTGAGGATACAAAAAGAAGCCAAAGTCAGGCCCTACCGACAAGGAGCTTACAATCTAATGGGGAGACAACAGGAAAAAAACTGTGTACAAACAAGCTAAAAACAGGATTGGTTGGTGGCAGGTGGGGTGGGGGGGAACATCTGGAAATTTAGCAAAATAAGACTTGTTAACAAATGGCTCAAGATGAAAAATACTCCGTTTCCATGAAATGAATGCCCCAGAAGCAGGCTTCTCTCCCTTTTCCCCCTGATGGTTAACAATCAACTGCTTTTGTTTCCAGAGTCTCCTCTGTTGTCATACTATTCCCTCTGTGAGTAGGAAGGGATGGAATATATTGGACATTGTAGCCATGGGGCTAAAAATACTTTGGTCAAGGTGAGCAGAACATAAAAATGTGTTGCCTGCATTTTCCCCCCAAAAACAGCTTCTGTCATTGAGGTCCTCTAGGACCAGAAATCTCTTAGATATAAAACTCTTAACCACCATCCAGCTTGGGCCATAGACTTTTATTAGCAGTGTGGCCCAATTTATTTTTGCCAATGTCACATCATGGCAAGGTCAAGACTTGGTAGGACATTCAGGTGTTTAATCTTATTTTAGCCTTTTATAGTTAAGACAGCTATTCCCAAGCCCTCAATAAATATTTTCACCCTCTACAGAAGGAAACGATGTTATTTTGCTCCACATGCATTTTTGGATTTCAGAATTTGAACAATAACCTGTTTCTAGAGAATTGAGCATGGTTTATATCGCTGACAAATATGGCTGCCGAGTGGGTTTCTTCATAAGACTGTTATGTTAATTGGGACAGGACAGCCAGGGTCCAAGTCTACAAACCAAACTTGGTGCTCTCACACATGGACCCTAACTAGCTGATGTCTGAGTGGTTGAGTGCAGGAGGTTTACTTGGCAATTGCAACACTGAAGGTTTGTTAGAAAGCTGAATTGTGCATCTGACTCAAGGTGCCATGTTGTGGTGGCCAGAGGGCAGCTTCTGGTTAGAGGACTGGGGAGGGCTCAAATCCCAGCTCTGACCCGGGGCAAGAAGCCACAGAGCCTCTCTGGGCTCAATTTCCTTATCTGTCAAATGAAGGAGTTGGATTAGCTAATCTTTCAGTCCATTCCAGCTGTGAATATCAGTGGGTATACATGTTCATGTGTGTGTGTGTGTGTGTGTGTGTAAGGGTGATGAAGGGAGGAATGAAGGCAAGGGGAAGGGAGAGAGGAGGGAGAGTGAAAGAGAAGGGGAGAAATAAAGGGGCAAAGGGAAGGAGAGAATGAATACATGTTTAAAGGTAGGAGGAGGCTGTAAAGTCCTTCCCCCCTCCCCCCATTTCTCTAAGCAAGGACATATGGACAGGCCTTTTAACAGCTTCTCAACTCAATTGCATTTTTTGAGTTGGGAATGATTCCATGAGCCCAGCTTCCTTCTCTCTGATGCCTTCTCTTCCAGAGGACTAACCACTGGGCGAAGGGTGAGCTCCTTTTTCACCCTTTCTCCAGCCTTTCAGGCCGTGAGCATCAGGCCTGTGTTAGCTCGGTCCCTGATTAGCTCAGGATCGTAATTTTGTCATTTCCAGAGTGTGATATGTGCCATTTTTAATGTGATAAAGGGAATACTTTTATTTGACAAATCTTTCCTCCTTAATCTTTATTCAGATAGTTTTGGAAATGAATGCTTTAATTTGAGAAACATTGATGATATCAACATGATGGGGAAAAGGAGGAAGATTAAGAGGGACTAGAAATTCTTTTAGATATAGCCTTTGGAGACTTAAACAATTATTGGTTTTAGTGCCACCTTTCATGTAGGACCACATCTTTTAGAACTCAGCATTGGATGGTCTAAAGAATGGTAGATCCAAGTCAATTGAATGGGGCAACTAAACTGGGGCGTGGGTTTTTATAAATGAAATCGACTTTTGTTGTCCAGATGTTTTTCAGTCCCGTCCAACTCTCTGTGACCCCATTTGGGGTTTTCTTGGCAAAGACTCTGGAGTGGTTTGTTATTTCCTTCTCCAGTTTGTTTTACAGATGAGTAAACTGAGGCAAACAGGGTCACACACAGCTAGTAAATACCTGAGGCTGGATATGAACTCAGATCTTCCTGACTCCAGGCCCAGTGCTCTATCTACTGCACTACCTAGCTGCTCAAAATGGGCTTTATATAGGGTTATAGATTTAGTCAGTCAATAAACATTTATAAAGTATATACTATATGCCAGGTACTGGGCTAAGCACTGTGG